ATGAAATTCTTGCAATGATTCACACACCTTGAGGAATGAGCTCAGGGCAATTTTATTGAAATGGTTCTGAGGGACACTATTTGCCTGTTTGGCCACTCTCTACACATGATTTCCTTGAGTATCAGTGGTAAAAGAAATTATGATAAATTAGCCTTCTTCAAGGGGTACTACAGTCTGTGCCTGTGGGATTAATGTGTCTGAAGATGATACTTATAGGCAACAGTACAGCTATGGTCCTGGTCTTGTACCTCTGGTTGTATGGCTCCAGATAATGTCAACAACTAGGTTGTCTCCCTGGATAATTTTTCCTCTCCATGCACTTCTGATGGGAGGGCAATAGTTGTTATAGCCATAGCTAAGTCAGTATTCATTCTGATGTCTCATGGACCAGACAAGGAGTTCAAACACATAAAGGCAAAGAATACCTTCATGTTGTGCCAGTTTAGATACCTATAACAGTCTGCAGGATCAGTCTTTGTAGGGATACATCAGATTTATCTCTATGTGAGAATTCAATAGAGTGAAGGAAAGTATTGGGTCTAAGTGTGAGACATGGACCCAGTATTAGTAGCAACCAGGTTCCCAGGCAAAGTATCCATGGATACCTAGACTTGCCCCTCAGTTCAAGAAGGACAGGGAACTGCTTGAAAGAGTCCAGCGCAGAGCTACAAAGATGATGAAGGGAGTGGAACATCTCCCTTATGAGGAAAGGCTGAGGGAGCTGGGTCTCTTTAGCTTGGAGAAAAGGAGACTGAGGGGTGACCTCATCAATGTTTACAAATATGTAAGGGGTGAGTGTCAGGGAGATGGAGTTAGGCTTTTCTCAGTGATGACCAGTGATAGGACAAGGGGTAATGGGTGCAAATTGGAGCACAGGAGGTTCAAGGTGAATCTCAGGAAGAACTTCTTCCTTGTAAGAGTGACAGAGCCCTGGGACAGGCTGCCCAGGGAGGTTGTGGAGTCTCCTTCACTGGAGACATTCAAAACCCACCTGGATGAGTTCCTGTGTGATGTACTCTAGGTGACCCTGCTCTGGCAGGGGGGTTGGACTAGATGATCTTTCGAGGTCCCTTCCAACCCCTAGGATTCTATGATTCTATGATTCTGCTTCTGTGTATGTCTGCACTTGTCTTTTTAAGACTTAGGGGAAGAATCCCCAAGACTGAGAAAGAGATGATGAGTTTTGAGGAAGGCCAGTTCAGAGCAGCTCCTGATAGAAAAGTAAAAGCATATCAAATGCTCGGTTAGCCTCTCATCACTACCATTAGCAAGAAAAGAACATGAAGTCCCTAAACTGAAGTTCTCATGTTCTCAGAGCTATTAAATGTGAGTGGCAGAAGCTTTTTTCTATCATCATCATTACTAAGATGGTAACAGTTATGCTGGGAAATGCTTTTGAAATACTGTGAGAAATGAAACAGCCAAGAGTACTGCCCAGGTTGCAGTTGATTTAGGGCTTTAGTAGTAGTTACTTAAAAGTAGCCATTAAGTTACTGTTTGGAAGTTGAATACATAACCAACTGTGTTTCAGATATTTTAAAAATATATATTTATGGTGAATTGAGCTTCATTTGTCTGTATTTAGTCCAGAGGTGGTCGAACAGAACCACTTTCATGTCCAACAAAACTGGTTTATTACCTCAGAGATTTTTCAGCATGTGTTCCTGAAGTAATTAGTATGTTTTTGTGCTTTGAGAAGGTTATTCCTGAATAAAATAATGATGTTTTCATGGCAAGTCTAGTGAAAAATGGAAAGACTCAACCATCTAACCCAGGTTTGCTAAATCAGGAGCATTGTGTTAACAAGACTTGGGTTGGGGCCATTTTGAGATATGTGAATTTTTTGAGCCATATAAGATAGGTTCAACATTGAATATTTAAGTGTTTCAGCACAGGAGGACAAGCTCAAAGTTTATTTTTACTCTGACAATGTTTTAGGGAATCAAGGCTGTGCCATGTCATCATCTCTCTTTTCTGTCTTCCTCATTTTATTCCTTGCAATGTTACATTAGCTGGACTTTCACTGAGTTCCAGTGAAAGGGTTTGCAATGTGAATTTGAGATTAATTGGTTGCTACAGTGCTTAAAAAAAAGTATAGACTACTATAGCATAGCAAAAATTATTTAGAAACTAATTCTGTAAGAAACCTTATAGCTTCTTTGCTTTCTCACTGCGTATTTTAATTGTGGTCTACGTTGATTATAAAAATAATCAAAAAGGAGCAAACAGGGAAAAAAGCTTACATTAAACTGAAAATTACATTGTGTCCTATGATATGTGTGTATTTTAAAATTAATCTTTTGAAATACTAATTGAGGACTTGTCCTCTTAAAATTGAAGTAGTGGTGTTGGTAAGGCTGGTCCTTTCTGAATGAGAAGGGTGGGAGGGATCTGGTATACTTCCAGCTGGCAGTTTCTTAAATTTATTCTCAAGTGGTTTGTCAGACTATTGTCAACTTTATTTTCTATGGTGGGATTAAATGACTTCAGTGATGTCATGCAAGAATTCCTCTTTGACTAAGTAATTTCAAGTCCCAAGTACTTCTCTACAAAGTAAGAGTGTTCTCAATGTTATTGCAGGATAACTAAAAAAACCTCAGCAGAACAGGAAAAAGGCTCAAGATTACTCTGTTATTAAAAAGTGAACTAGGGGAATGATGTGGTGTAACAACTTCTGTCTTCAATGTAACCTATTGGTAAAGATACTGAGAAGATTTTCAACTAACTAAAGAGTTACATTATTTGTTTAGTTTTAAAAGCTGAAGTGATTCAAATAACTTCTGTCTTGGTTGTGTGGGCTGAATAAGAATCATTCTCAGGCAAGTGACTTGAATGCAAGCTTTCATCTAACTTTCTCTTCTTCTCTTCCCCTTCCACTCTCTTTTATCTCCCCTTTCATACTACTGAAAACAAAAGCCCTACTTTTACTAGTTTGCAGAAGAAACCTGCCATATGAGAACCAGGAATAAACTGATGAACTGACATCTCCCTGAGCCTGAAGTAAAACTGCTTGAATGCTTTCATTGCTTTAAAAGGGAGAGAAGAATAGGTGACTGTCAGATGACAGTCACCAATGAGAGACAGATTCCCTGGAGAGCTACCTCAAGCCCGTTAACTAAAAGAATTATTGTATGGAATGTCATCCAGGAAAGCATCCAAAGGAGAGAGAGGTTTTTATTTCTTCTGCAAAGGGCAAAATGGCTCTAATGCTGCTGCCCTGATGCCACTCCAACAGGAAGCTCATTCTGGGGAAAGAATATAACACACAGTGACATCACTGGAGGATTATCTAGTGTATTTGAGTGCTGTGAGATTAGCAATTGTTTTAGGTTTTTTTTTCCTGTAATTGCAAGTTGAATGGCATGGATTTAGATTTACTAGAAGCTTTTGTCCTTAAATCACAGGAAGGATTATATTACTGAAATGTGGTTGGGGATAGTGTTGACTGGACATTTCAGGTTGGAGGAAATCAGTCTTTCAGATCATGTTGATATGTATCAGGACAGAATGAAACAAGACAGAATTCACCATGACTTGGTAAAAGGCTGAGACTCCAAGAGATTATGAATATTTTTTTAATATTTTGAGCAGAGTTTTTCCTTAAATGCATGAGTAGTTATTTTTCCCAAGTCTATATTACACTATATGTTTATAAGCTTAGTTATGTTCTATGAAACTTGTCTTTTTTTTTTCATCTTTCAGCCAAAAATGCTACATGCAGCTATTCTGAAGATGCTGGTACTAGATGGTGAATCAGTCTATACCTTGACTTCTAATCCTGTTTTGCTGCTTATAGCCAGGATAATCCTTGTGAATTCAAGAAACAAACTTGCATCTCTTCAGGTAAGAAATGTGATTAATGATTATGACTGCCAGCTACACATTACTTGGTTCTCTTGTTCTTAATGCCTCATTGAATTGGTATAACTTCCATTTCTTTTTCTGTAGCTCAGATTTTTCCCTGGCAAGAAACAGTTCAGACAAAGTAATTACAATTAAACACAAGTATCTTTTTTTTGAAGATTAGCTATTGACTCACTGTCTTCACTAAAAGAGAAGAAAGATGTCTTCATTACCTAGAAAAAACAGAAAATTTAATAGAAAGCAACCTTTTTAAGAGACATACTTTGTGACATTGTTTGAGGAGGTGCTGGGGAGTGTCTTATGTTGCAGCATATATATACTAAGTACTTTTTAACAAGCTTTGGGATACTGTTAAATGTTACTGTATGAGTTATAAGCCATGAGTTGTAAATGCCAAGGAAGTCCTCTGTCTTCTACCTCTTCTGTGGGTATTCATATGGATGCTAACTTAATTGTCTGTTGTGCTTGTACATTTAAAAAAAAAATAAAAAATGAACCTTTTCTTGAGAAGGTTTTTGTCTTTTCTTTATAGTTTAGCAGCAGGAGTCTCTGGAAGTGGGGGACTTTTAACAGCATCAGCTTCTCTTTATTGCATTCCAGTTGAACAGAATTTGGCTGGAGATCAAAATGCCACATGGTCCCTCTTTATGCTTGGCTGAGAACATCCATTCCCAGCTGGGTCTTTGTATGAGTGATGAATTGAACTGTGTGGGAGATGTTGGCTTTGCTGCATATCTGGAAGCCAGGCTTTTCCATTGTTTTCTGTGTTATTCACAGATGAGTGCTGTTGAATTTCAGCACCTGGGTCAGTCAGGGAGTAAGATAACGTACCTGCTATAGAGAATTCCCTTGCTGCCTCCCCTCAGTCTGACATAATGGGGGGCCACCTTCTACCCAGTGGAAGTTGAATTACTTGTGCTTACATCAAGTTGGTATTGTAGTTCAAAGGCAAATAACTGATAAACACTACTTTCATCAACAGGTCAATGTAGGAATTAGAGCTTGCCATTCATTCTCATTTCAGCTTGATTCAAAGGAAGTCTCTTAAAACTTTTGCTTCTTAAAGATTAGTGCAAATAAATTTAAAACAGAGTAAAGTACTCTGAAATATATTAACCAAAGCATTAATGAAGTCCTGTTTTATTTAAAAATGCTGTTGTACCTGGAGGATCAAATGCTTAAAAATCCCAGAATTCTTAATGTGGCTCCCAAAACACTAACATTTCTGATAGAATATTGTACAGAGCTCAGCTGATTTACCTGAAACTTTATAAATATGTTCTCTCTGATTCTAATATTTCTGAGTGGCAAGCCTCAGGCCATTAAGCTAGATACTCAGTTGTGTGGGAAAATGAAATATTCATTATATAAAGCTAAACTGAAGTATTTTGAAACTTCTTATTTAAATTGCCTTTAGGTTTCTAAATAAGCAATGAAATGTTGGGATTTGACGTTTTTCACAAAGTCTGTTGTTTGTGTACTTTTACTCTGTTCAGCTTCTTACTGAAAGTCATATTTCATTGTTTTTTGAAGTAGATGCTATTATTCTTTTTGATGTTTCCTTTCTAGGGACATTACAATCAATTATATGTGATTGGCTTAGACATTTATGGTTGAATACTTACAGCCATCTAGGTCAGTCTGATGTAAACATACATGTATGAAAGGTTCAGAAGATAGGTGCCTCTCAGAATCAAGCAAACAATGTCTCTTTCATAGAAAATGATTAGCTTTTCCATGCATTTCCACCTGCTGCAGCTAGAGGCAGATAAAATATGCTGGACAACTTACATTTTGTGTACACAGCCTTCTAAAATCAGGTATTTGATGAGCTGTGATTCAGCTCTTCTATAGAATGATTACTTAGTTCAGTGAGGTATTTTCCCTTCTGAAATTCCACACACAAATATTAATATTTTTGATTGTGATTATAAGGTGTTATTAGCAGTTCTGGTTCTCTTTCATCTCAAGAAATAAAACCAGGAAAAAATACATAGAAGGGCTACACTGGATGATCAGAAATACTGAATTGCTTCCATACAAAAAGTAGCAAAGAGTCTAGGACTCTTCAGGCTGGAAATACTACTATTGGTTACCTTTTAAAATCATAAATGTGACATAAAATAGGATAAGTAGGGAATAACTTCTTTTTTTTGTCTTTTTCTGTTACAAGAATTAGGAGGTACGAGATCAAAGTAACAAATAGCGGCTCCAGAAGAAGCGCAGACAAGTGCTTCTTTTATCTTCTGTTCATAGAGTTTCTTACTAAACTGTGGTCCTGAAGATTTGCAGAGTTCAAAGAGCATTTAGAGAAATTAACAGAAGAAAAGCCCATCAAACTCGTAGAGCACTGTAGAGTGGCTTGAATATATTCATCTTTATGCTATGTTAGTACTCACGTTTTATATACAAGACCTATTTTGGATGGCTTTATATTTTTTTAGAAATTAGACTTGAATAGATTACAAAATCTATATTTTAAAGCCACATATTTTTTCATTTTTAAAAAAGGATCTATACTTGTTTACTTGAAGTATCCATATTTTCTTTCAGACATTGTCTTGGTGGACTCTAAGATGTTTGAATATTCACCAGCAGTTGTTGGAAGAGAGATCACCTGAGCTATTTACTCTTGCCCAGACCTGTATAAAACAAGGTATATTTCTAATTACTTGGTTTATTGGCCTGCAGCATCAGTTGTAAGATATTATGGGGGAGGGAAATTTGTAGGCGCAACTTTAGCAACACAATGCTTATGTAACTACAAAGAGTAGAGGGGGAACAGAATTTACTTAAATTCACATGGACTTGAATGGCACATGATATTTCTGGCCTCCAAGATGAAAATGGGAATGTGTGATTATAGGCAAAGGCTTTCTTTCCCTGTGCTTAACACTGTTAACTTATCTCAACCTCACTTATCCACAAGCTCACAAGCTATTCTGTAGTGTTTTCATTATTTATTTAACTGATCTCATTTGGGCTTGAAAAGGCAAAGTCCTTGTTCTTCTGCATCTTCAAGGGGAAGATAAACTACTTTTTTCCTTTTATCTATATCCTTATCTAAGTTTTGAAATTTGTTTCCTCTCTGTATTATAGGTAAACAGACAACATTACAACTAAATTATGTAAATATATATATTGCTGTTTACAAAAGTTTAATATAGAAAGTTAAAATGTCAATTATATTGCTTGCTTTTTTTTTTTCTAAGAGGAATAAACTCATAGAGAGACTGTCAATATCATTTGCTACAGCAACTGATAAAACTGAAAAAAGGAGGCAAGCTTTTTATGTACATATACCACTCACCAGTTAGTAGGCTGAAGATTCTTTGTTTAATTTCACAGACCTGAAATTTCCAACCACTTACATTTAAGAATTTTTCTATTGCGTTTAGAGATGAGTTTTCATGTATGTTTTATTTGTCAAAGGCAATATTAAATGCCAAACATTTCAAGTCTCTTCTACTGTATCTTGATGGAGCTTTTTCATCTGAATCATGTGTAGGCCATACAAATCATATGTAAAATAGGAACTGGGTTTTGGTTCTTGAAATTCTGCCAATTATGTAACAAAGATGCTAGTGCAGTAATGAAATGGAGCAGATTATTTTATTGGGTCCTCTGCGGTGAAGAAGTAACTGACTTAATTCTGTCACTGGATGCTAAAAGGACTGGAATGGAAAGGATTTTGTTGCAATTGATGAAAACTATTATTTTGGGGGTTTTTGTCTGCTTTTTTTGAACTTGCTTGTAGAGTTATATTGCACAGGTATGGCAATCTTACCATTAAATTCTGCTTATTCTTTAGTTTGTAACTTTAAAATTTCTAGCTTTTGGCAAGTTACTGATTTGATGCAGATAGTAGAAAGCAATTGACAGGCGTAACTTAAGCAAATAATGATAAATTTGTTGGCAAGTTAATTTATAGGCTAGGACCTGGAGATGGAGGTTGAACTTTAACAGACGCAAAGAATTAAATCTAAGTTGCATTTTTAATTTTCAAATTAAATTATAGCAAATTGAGTTTTACTATAAAAATGCATGTTTTCTTAATGGGCTAGTCTTACAAGTTTAGCCTGTTTAAATGCTTGTACAGAAAAGAAAAAGTCCTTAAAATGTGACTTCCAAGATATGTTGTAGTAGCTAATCTAACACCTAATTCTCATATACATTTTTAAATCAAAGTTGCATAGAGGTGGTTAACAGTTCCAGAGAGGATTATTTTATTTATTTGATGGTTAGGGTTAAGCTTTTTGAGACAAAGTTGTTGCTTGGTTTTAATCTAGTAAGGATCATATCTGTGAGTTAGGTTGAACAGTACTTCTTCTAATAGAGAAATTTGTAGCATATTTATGTGACTGTTACTTTTTCTTCTTAGAAATACCTTGAAACTTGAAATAAAAAAGAAACAGAATTATAAAATTAATTACAATTATTCAGCTAGATGATAGTGGGTAGAGATACAGTAGTTTGTGCAGCCCTGTGTAGAGGATGCTGCTGCATATTCACAGATACTAAATAAATACAGAGATTCTCAGTGACCTGGTTTGAGAGTCCTGGAAATGGTTTTCAGAGATGATGATGTGATGTACCTGTGAATCTATACTGAGTTTTTCCAGGCAGTTTTGTTGCCTGCTGCATCTAACAGTTTATTTACTTTCTAATTAAAGCCATCTGGTATTTCAAACAAATACCTTAGTATTCTATGAAATAAATAATAAACTTTTTAAGCAGTCTTTGATTAGGGTTTGAAAAACCCACCTCCATATATCTGAATTACTAGAGAGAAAGACCTTCAAATTCCACAGAAAATATCTTTCCTGTTTAAAACACATTGTTCTCAAGTGTAAAGTCAATATTATCACCTGAACAGAGAGAACAGCTGCAGTGATCCCCTGCTGTTCTGAGGCAGCTGTTCTCCAGGGCTCAGTGAAGTTTTCCATCCATGTGGCCCTGTGCCAAGCATGGTATGGGATCCCAGTGGGGCGTCTCAAGTTTAGGGCATTGGTACTTCTGTGGAGCTACGTCAATACTAGTAGTGATGAGAAGCTTTCCACAAAGGTTCCTTAAGGTGTCAAAAGTCTCAAATGCCTGAACTTAGGCAGTTTTGGGATTAGCACTGTAAGGAAGTGATATTTATAGAAGAAGTGGTAAATGTATCATTTTGGTTCATATATGGCTTTAGTACAGGTAATTTTATATTCAGATCATTGAAATTCATTAGCTATGGAAAATCAGGAATGTATGATTATAGACAGTAACCTGATTTTTTTTCCTTTGAAATTGAATAAAAATAATTTAATTGGAGAGCTGCATTTTTGTGCAGTTTCCACATGGGTACCTGCACATTCAGTATATTGCAGGCTTCATTGCACTGACAAAAATGGCTCAGACTATGCTGAAAAGCCAATACAAATCCATGTTATTTTATAAAACCCTCAATGCATTTTTGAGTGCTTTTAATAATACTTAATAGAAACCCCCATTTTATTTTTCCCTTATGTAAATAGGATTTTTGTCTTTTGGGAAACCATTAAAGTGGCATTGTGTATGTACAGAACGTGAAAAGCAGGTGAAGATAGCAGATGTCCTAAATCCTTTACTGATTCCACCCCCACATACACACTCTTTTTACAAAAAAAAAAGAAAAAGCAAAGCTTATGTTAGAAAGGCAGATGCTTTATGGTCCTGTGGGCATTATTCTCCTTTTTTAAAGAGAAAGTGTGTTAAATCGTTAATAGGACAAAACCATTAAAACCTCATATTGTTTCTTAATGAAGTGTATACATTACCGAAATTAAATATTTTCTGACAAAATAAAGAAATAAAGCCCAAAGCAAAACCTACTTCCATGTAAGAATAACTAACTCGAATTGTTTTAAGCTTAGCGGTCTGTATTTTACTAGGCAAGAATATTCTATTGTCACTTACTGTATTTGATAGATAGAATTTAAATGTGTAAGAAATACAAATGCTTCTGTGATGGATGAAAAAAATACCGTGTTCTTTCCTAAAGATTTCAGATTTATTTACAGAGGTGTTTTCTCCTATTCAGATGGAGAACATGATCTTTATCACTCAGCAAACCAGTAGTTACAAAAAACCAAAAACAAACCCCTCCAGAAAAAAACCAAAACGAAAACCAAAAACACACATGCAGAAAACCAACTAACCAAAAACCCCTAAAGAGTCCCAAGTCCCCATTCAGTGCTTATTCCGCTGGTGACACATTCTCATTTGAAGTCTGCTACTTAAGGGGGAAGGGAATTATTTCAATATTCTGTGTTCTGAGTTCCTATGTCCTTTAGCAGCTTCGAGACATTAGACTGGTTAATTTCCTGCAAAAGTAATATGTCCTGATTCAGTTTTACTGTAAAATATAAGCCAATCTTAAGCTTCTGGTTTTTTTCTAGTAGTAATCCTTAGATATAAAAGTTGAAAAATGCGTTAAATACACCAACTGTGGAGTTTTAATTGTGTGGAGGTATAAAGAGCAACAGTTCTGTTTTAAGCATAACAGACTTTCCCTCCTTGCATTTTAAATGTATTTTAAAAATATCATTCCCCTGAAATGCAACCTGATAGCTGCTCTTTTTTTTTTTTTTTTTTTTTTTTTTTTTTTTTTTTTTTTTGTCATTTGCAGTGACAGAAGCAGAAGCTTTGTTTACAGGTGGTGAAAGCTGGCACTTAGCAGTTCAGTTTCATCTTGAATGTGCCTATACATTTTTGTATTACTACGACTATAAAAAAGCTAAACAATGTTTCAATACAGCTAAAGACATAACGAAACTGCAGATTAATCTTACAGGTAAGTTTTGCTTGTACAGTGTATGAGGATGGCTGGTTGGGTCAAACTAACCTATGGCTTATTGGGATTTTTTTTTTTATTTTTAATTTTTTTCTTACATATCTAAGTAAAAAGAACTGTGTTTTGAAAAATCTTGACTTTTACCTGGTAAGAATTATTTTTCTGCTAAGAATTATGATAGCTTGGAAAAAAGAAGAGACACGTGCCATCTTAGGTACCATATAATCTCTAATATGGGTGTCTGAGCAGCTGTGGTATTATGATCCTTCCTTCTCGTGTTTCATATAAAATTGTAGGTCTAGTTGCCTCTTTTATGGGACTCCTGAAACTAGTCAGTGTTATGATTAATATTTTTTGTTTCTTTGGAGGCACTTATAAAGACATCTGCAGTTTGATTTGTCTTTCACCTTTTAAGCCACTAGCTTATTCCACGTAAATAGCATTTTAAGGTTACTTCCAGGACTGCTGTTATCACAGGAAGTAAGGAGAGAAGTCAAATTTCGGATGAACAGAAATATCAAGGGTTCAATCACTATGAAGACTTTATAATCATCCTTTCAAAACCTATTCTTTGGAGTCTGGCAGATGAGATTGCTGTACTTGCAACTCCATTTGAGTTACATGTATAGACATGGGACTGTTAGATCTAGCTGGTCCTGCTATGTAATCAAAGTGACATAAAATGGACACATTTTCTGTGTGAGAACTTTTGATTGGCCTGAGTACAAATGCAAGAGTCTAACTTTTTTAAAGACTTATTTGTGGAAAGCACTAAGGAGCTGAAACTTGCAATCTCCTTATCTATTACACCACTATGTCACAAAGCTCGCTGTTCCTTCATACGTAGGAGCTGCAGCTGCCCCTGTTAATACCCTGAGTCAATTTAATATTTTAATTTAAAAAAGACAGAAAACAAGCAAACAAACCCCAAAAAATCTCACACAAAAAAACCCCAGAAAACCAAACAATATTTGTGGAACTTCATGCTAATTTCTTCAAAGGTTTTAAAAGTTTACTTTGCAAAATCTGTAATGAAAATATAGTGGCATAGTGTTTTTGCATAACTATGATTGTATTTAATGATATCTGCTACACAGGAGTAATTTCCATATACTTGTTTGAAGAAATTTAATGTATTTCACATGATCCTACCCTCTTCCTGATGCACATGTACTTCTCATGTGACACACTCCATGTGTGGTCTGTACTACAGACTTGATATTATGAGGTAGTTTTTTTTTAAATAAACGTAGATTTTTCATGTGTTTTCTGGAAAACATCAGTGCCCGTGATGATATTCAAGCTATAAAAATGTAATTAACTAAGAACAAGTAAAATTAAAGTGGCAGGTGGCTATTCATAGCTACATGTTGGATTTTTTTTTGCCTTTAAAGGAGATCTTTTAACATTTTTTATGAATAATTTCTTGAATCTAACCTTAGTAAGAAACCTCTTTTTTGAAGGAGGAGAGGGAGAAGCAGCTTTGGATGCAGTGGAATTACTTGTATTTTTTATTAATTTACCAAGAGCTAAGTCCCAGAGAGATATTGTGGTGATATAGTCTCTTGGAAAAATGTTGTGAAACTCCTACAAGTTCTGTGGTTTGTCTCCATAAATCTATTAGAATAGTTATGAAGGATGTCTAACCTGAAGGCAACTGAACTGAACATGTGGGAGTTGTTGACATTCGAGACAAGTTCATTTGACATGCATGTTTGGGCTAAATGGAAGGAATGTTACATCATCAGAAAAGACTTTGAATAAAAAATTCAACCTCTAGCAAAGACATTTATAAGGCTTTTGGAAGGAATTTCTTTTTTAGGAAAGGATTCTAAGAGGTTTATATTCTTTAATGGTTGTAATCCTTGCTAGTTGAACATTTTATTAGGACATGGAAATGTATGCTGCTGTTAAAAGAGAGAATTTAGAACCAATATTTTCCAAAGTTATTCTGGAAATCAGTGAATAAATCATACTTGTTTTGGCTTATGTACTTTTTTAAAGTCACATTAATCCAGGTTTGTTCTGTATTCATCATATATAAAAAGCATCCTTATGTCCCTTGCAGTGAGTCACAACCATCAATAATTCCACAAAACATTTTCCAGTGGGAGAAGAGTGGTCCTTCTTGCATATAAATGAAGGATGGTAATAAAAAAAATTAAAGTCAACAGATGTGGAGGTTGAATACTGCTGAACTCCAAGATCTCCATATTGTCTGCTTATTGTTTGTATGCTCAGTAATGCACCCCTGGGAACTTTTAATATGGGACAAAAAGTAAAGTCTCTGTGTAGATTCCCTCTCTTTAGTGAGGATATATGGTGGTATAAAGCAAGCAATTTTTTCCCCCCGCTTAAATGTGATATATATTTTTTCCAAATAAAAATGGTTATGTAATGTCCCTGTAATAGCAAGGAATTATTTAGTTTATAAAAATAAATAAATAAATGAGGGATGTGTGCGTGCTTAAGTAAATCACAGTTTCTGGTGGTAGAAGAAAATGTACTGGTAAGCAGCATAACTTTGCAAGTGTTTTATTCAGCTGTTTAAGCAATAAGGCATAATAGGAAGTTAATTACAGCATAATTATTTTCAATATTATTAAAATTTGGAATTGAGTGCTGCCACATAAAATTAGTATGAATAATTTACCCAGTATTTATTTCTGTATGTCTCTGTCTTCTCTGGAGTGTCCCTTGCAATTTCAAGGTGCTATTTTTAGAAACTTTTTTATTTCTTTGTAAGCTCTTAATGCAGAACTTTCCCATTAAAAGAGGTACTTGACAGAAAAGGATAAATCAGTTTAATTTCTGGTTTCCCTGCTGCTCTTTCCATCTCCAGGAAGAAAAGACAGTGACTGCTATTTCAGTGCCTGTGCCAAGTGATTCTTACTGACAATGGTCTCATCATCAGGCCTTTATCACATGAGCAGTCAGTCATCTTTACCTCAAAGATTTCATATCTTGAAAAATTTTCAAGATGGTGATGAAATGAAGAATTTTTCTTGATCTTCATTGGTTCTTCAAAAGCAACAGTAAATTAACATTCAGTTGTCCATTTCTGTTATTTGACTTTCACAGTTCACATTATCTGAGCGTTGTATTGTAGTAACAATTATTAAGGAAACTTCAACAATTTGAGTAATTTTTAGCTCCATTTTGGCTCTGGTTAAGATTCTGTTAAGTTACCATTCTGAAGTTGTTCTTTGATTTTTCTGATTGCAGCTTGCAAACAGGTTGCTAATAGAGGAAGAACAGACCAGCTTTTTTTTCAAATTTGTTATAAATGTCATTTGCCACCCTAAAAGCTAGTAAAAGTTGTCTGAGGGTACAACGAAGAACTGAAGAAACAACATTGAAAGGAATTTCCTTTTGTTTCATATAGTTAAATTTAACCTTCATTGGTTTGCTGTTTCATCCTCTCCCCTGTTACTTTTACTAGTATCTTACATGACATATTCTGGTAACATCATGTCTGTGATTCTTTTTCATAGACCTAAGTCTTCAAATAAAGAGTTGAAATATTTAAAATTATGGCCTGTAAGATGTTACAGGATTTTCCTGTCTCCTTGTCATTAACTTTTAGCAGGCAAAGTGAACAATTGTTTGTGGTTTATTGCTAGGGAGTAAGCAGGGAACTGATGAAACTTGATGACTGAAATTTCAAAGGCAATTTGGTGGGTTATGGGGAATCTACTTAAAAATATCTTTTGAAGACTTGTCTAGCTGTGTTTGTATATTTGTAATATTTATTTCTTTGTATGTCACAGCTAGCAGTGAGAATGCATGTATTTCATTATGAAGAGATCAAGCAGAATTAAACCACTTCTGAATTTCATAGGTTAATTCTCAATGTGTATTTTCTTCGCTTTCATGTGAACAACTTTCTAGTGTATGATGGGACTACTGGTTTTTAGTGTTCATTAATATAAACATTATTTTTCTGTAGGTGCTTTGGGGAAGAGAACACGATTTCAGGAAAAATATGTTGCACAGCTTATTTTGGATGTCCAAAGAACAGATGAATTTCTCCTTCCTCACAGTGAACTAAGTCCAGCTCCAACACCTCTAGAAAACCTCACAATGGTATGTATTTAAGAAGAATTGCTTTTATTTCTTAAAGTGAAAATATTCTCAAGGTTTTCTTGGGTGTCTGCAAGGGAAAAGCGTGCGGCACCTAGGAGAAACTTACTAATGATTTCTGAAAGTTTTAGGAGAAGATGTGGAGCAGTTGTTTGCCTAATATTAAAGGACATGGGATAAAACAGCATGTGACTGTCTGCAAGACAGATGTGGCTACTCAGTTAAAAATGTGTTTGCAAATATGTTAATCAACAGTTTCTATATTAATTTCTAGTCTAAGAGTGATGGAGTTAGGAAAACAGAAGAGTGACAGATTTTCAAAACAGCCTGCAAGGCGTCATAGAAGCACAAAAATTCCTAAGGACTGACAGATGTGTTTAGTAACAGCATGAAGATAGGAAATTGGTCTAGGAGAAGTTCTGGTTGCATTTAGAGTTATTTGAACTTCCTAAAGATGCCAGAGATAAATTGAGGCATTATAGTCCCAAGATTTATTCTTCAGGTTGGAAAGCCTTTATTAAAAAAGGTTATGCCTTGATAGACTTCCTGGTCAAGTCGGGATCTTAAACAAAAAAATTTACAGGACTTTTAATTTGAATGCACAAATATCTTAGGAGACTATCCTAGTTTTTTTTGTTTGTCCAGTGGTATGTCCTTAGTGTTGCATTCAATTTGATGAAGCGATTGCATACATGTCAGAATGAGTGCTAATGATAGAACTACTTCTAGCAACCTATTTAAACATAGTGAGTGCTCAGGGGAGGCCACTTAGTGAGTGTCTGACTTAGTTACAGACTTCAAGTACAACTTACCTAGAGCTGAATGATAAGATGCACTGCTCTCAAAAAGTCCCTAACTGGGATGGTGTATGACTGTTTTTTCCAGTTATTCACAAATTTCTGAAGAATTTGCTATTGTAGTCTGTATCTGATAATGACTTTAGTTTGGAATAAAACAACAAAATCATTTTGATAAAAATGGCAATGCTGTTTTGAGCTCTAGGTATAACCTGGAATGAAATATATTATCCTTGCTAATAAAATAGTATATTCATGTATAATTTTATTGAACAGACCCAAAGCTGCTGGAGTTTAGGTGAGAGTTTGAGAAAAAAAAATTATGGTATTTGGAATATTTAAAAATTAGTCATGTTTTTTATCTATACATTCTCAGAGGTCCATGATTGCTAGACTGAAAACCTGTATGTTTGGAAAGCATTTAACACTAATTTGTTTCAGCTTGTCTATATATATGTAATAAAGGAGGAAATTGTTGATAGTACTGTGAGCAGCAATTTGAAAGGGAAAATCCCTGTCAGCCGTTATTTAAGTATAAAATCAATATTAAGGTAATCTTAAAGTTGTTCTGCATGCTGTTCCTCCTGCATGGCAACCAGCATACTTGTAGCAAAAGTGGTTTGAATGACTGGCCTGTTCAGTTACTCCTCTGGCCTATTCGGTTAGTTATTCTGTCATAATCATGGCAAATAGTGAAATTGCTTTTCATTTTCCATTTTCTGATGTTTGCATTGTCCTTTTTCAAACAGTTCTGTATTTTTTTTCATATTTTGAAGGCATACATGTCTCTGCAGTTGTTTCTGTTTTGAAATATGTTCTATTTCTCCTCCAACAGAATTATGACTTAAATGATGACACAGTGCTTAATGAGATAAAATTAGCAGATGCTGATCAGTACCAGGTGCCTGATTTGTGTGCAGAAGAGCTTGCTGTGATCCTTGGACTGTGGTAAGTTAGTCCATAGCTGCTTAAAAAAGAACTAAACAAAAATGAATCATACTTAAAAAAGAAAAATGTTGTATGAACCATTATGATAATGAAATAATGAAGTTGTGAGTTGACAGGACTTTTTTTCCTTCCTTATAGACCTATCTGTATAGTCTGGCTAAAGTGCTAAAAGGTTTGTATTATACATGGATGGCATTCTCAGTTATCTTAGAGTGAACATTAGTGTTCAGTTCAGAATTTCTGCATTGTTTCATAAATTGCTATATTGTGCTTTTCTCCTGGAAGATCATGTGTATCTGGAAAGGAACAGATACCTTAGTGGTATCTGTTGCTGATTGCCATTGTCACCAGTGTATGTTTTTTCTAATGCAAACAAAGTTTTAGAGACTGACCTCGTTGGTTGAAGAAAGGCAACCTACAGGTAAAGAAAAAGACTAAATGTGAGCATTTTTTTTTTCTATACATTTACTGTGCTTGTAAGTGTTGTACAGCAGAAGTCAGACATGCCCCTTAATTCAACTGAGATTTTTGTTAACTCACAATCAACAGGATGTAGAAATGTTTGTGGATTGCAGAACAAACGGAAAATTGTTACAACTTTTGGACACCATGTTATTACCATTCCATAGGATCCTGTTTAATTACCTGAGTACACGTTTCCTGCTGTGAACTATGTTTCTTTTCAAGTGGTTTACAATGATCAATGGCTAAACAAAGTACTGTTATGGGATCAGTACAAACATTGGTGTATCTGCCCAGGGAGGTGGTTGAGTCACTATCCCTAGAGGTATTCAAGAAACTAGATGTGGCACTTCAGGGCATGCTCTACTGGTTGAAGTTGTAGGGGTATTTTGCGGGGGTTTTTTTGTGTTTTGTTGAGTGGTGTTGTTGTTTGTGTTGATGGTTGGACTCAGTGATCTCAGAGGTCCTTTCCAACCATGACAATTCCTTTCTCCTCCTCAATAACATTTTAAGAGGATATAAAATATTTTCGAAGTGTTGAAATATCTCCTACCAGCTGTCTACAGAAATCCAAGTAACATCTCATGCAGTATGCTTAAGTCAGCTTGTAAATTGCATGCATGAGTCTGAAACAATTAGATATTTTATTTAAACCTGTCTGTTACAATGATGTAAGGAAATAACGGGTTATTTATCAGTAATTCATTTATATAAAAAGGTAACAATCTAAACAGTACCCAGCCAGTTCTATGTGGCATTTGCAATTTGAGGCAGTTTCTTTTAAAGCATTTGGCTATTCTATTTCTTGTTTGCAAATTCCTTTTCTTGCAAATACTGAACAGTTTGTGGAACTAAATCTAAAAGAAAGCATTTATTTCCTATAATAATGAAACTGTAGCTAAAATAAAGTGTAAAGGGGAGGAAAAATTACCCCAGTCTGCTCACTTACACAAAGGTTTCCTATTCTATTGTATCCAGGTTTTGTAGTATCTGTGTAGGAAAAAAGTATCTAGAGGTGTTAACAGATCACCTCTCTGCAGGAGTAATGCAACCTAGAGGAAATAATAAAAGAAACTCCTAGGAGTGCAGAAGCATCACTTGGCTAGGACTTTTTTTTGTATTTTATATGAAAATAAGTGGTCTTGGTGGTATCAAATTTAGTTTACAGTCAAGCATTAAAACTGTGGGCAAAACTTTGTAGAGAGTGTTAAACTAAACTTTCAAAGGCTGATGGGAAAAGATATTAACATTTCAATTTAAACAAAATAAAAAGTTTTAAAAATCCAAGAATGGGGCAACGTATGATTTGAATAATGTGTTAATATAGATGTCAACATGCTGAGAAACTGAGAAGGGAATATGTTTCCCTTGTCACTTAGAAATAGCCCAATATTAGGTTGCTGTTAGAATAGTCAACAGCATCTGTGTGTCAGCAGCTTGGGAGGAAAGTCCCTTCTTATGAATTGATTCACCATTTTTTGAAGGGGAAAGCTTTTAGAAATTAGATACAGCTATATTGAAAATTCTAAGAGAGCAAAGAGAACTGTCTGATGGGTGATTATTTCTTAATCTTTTGCTGCCTCTCAAGGATAAAATGAGGTCAAAATAGTGTTATATTGCTGGTACCTCAGCTCAGTCAAAGACTATGCACCAGTATTTAAATGGTAAGGAAAGTATCAGGAAGCTTAAAACCTAACTTTTATTGTACAGTAATCTGGGTAATCATATATTACAGTTTACACAGTGAGCTGTAGAAACATACTTGAAACAGCTGCATAAGCAATAAATAGCATTAGGACTAATGGATTTTTAACTGAATTACCAATTCCGTTGAGAAATAGAAAAAAAAATCTCTATATACATGTTGGCAATAGAAACATCATAGGAAACTTGGGTAGGTGAAACAGCTACTTGAAATTTGAGAATCTAATACTAGCTGTCTGTCTGTTCTCTAATGGATAGAGCACCTGCAAAGTATGATTCATTTCACTTCAGGCACTTATTTTTACAATGGATTGAATCACTACATTTATCTTGATTTTTGCATGGACTCTGAAGGAGTTTTAGACAGTTAGCTAGGGTAAAGGCCTAAATTTTACATGGTTAAAGTTAGGCAAGATAGATCATCTTAAGCTTATATATATAGGTATATAGAGATATATGATTGCAGCATTCTTTGTGCTTTATGGCAAGGTCATGCAGTATAGCTTGTATCAGAAGTACAAGGCAGCAACAGATAAACAACTGTTTTAATCTCTTTTCATAGGGGAGAACCTTCTCTCTTTTAAGCCTTTGAGATGGCAAAGGTTATATTAAAATGACTGTGAAAGGCCAGAGCTTACACAAGTTGTCCTATGAAAAAAAAGCTACAACATAAAATCTTGGACAGCATTAAAGGTGATAAGTTTTTTCTATTAAATACTTTCTGACACTCTGACCTATAAACTCTGACCTGACAAACATATAATTTAAGTGTAAATTATGATTATTATTTTTTTTTAAATAAACCAAGTACATGTGCCAGACAGAGTGATCTCACTATGGTCAGCTTATGGCAGTTTAAAATAATTGCTACAAAACATATTGCTGTGCATCATTACATACCCCTATGTGAAGAGATTCCACTGGGGAGAAATGAGCTTCCTGTCTTGCTATTCAGAATGCTCACATGAAAAACATTCATCACTTGAAATGCCTTTGTGAAACTTCAGAAATGCTCATGAAGAGATCAGTTTATTTGGTTTGGTTCTTTTTTCGTTCACAAAATTAACACAGCTGGTAATACTGCATAGAAATACAGCAAATGCCCATAAAAATGCATACCTGAAAAGTCTGACCTATCTATTCTTCAACACTTATCTCATGCTAGCTGACTGTAGTTTCAAGCAGTTACCTGAAGAAGTAGAATCTGAATTTTTCTGCACTAGCAGAGAGGTAACGTGCTGGGAAGCATAAGCAAACGAAAACTAAGCAGTTGTCTTCATCTATCTGACTTTATACTCTGTCTTCAAGAGTGACTGTGAGAAGATACCTAATTGTGAATAATAACAGGGCAAGCACATGTTGCTTCCTTCTCCCTAACACTTTCCCAGGCTCTAAATGGTGATTTTCTGAGCCTAATCTAACTTGCTTGCATGGCAGCCCTCAATGGATCTGTCAAATATTTGTCATTTTCTGTTGAGCCCGTGTAAATTTCTTCCATCAGTAGCATACTTTGGCAAAGGTGTCTGTCCACATGTTTTCTGTCTGCTGTTAAAAAAAACTTCCTCTGGCTAGTTTTGCTTGCCAGTAGCTTTGTTTAGTGACTTAACTCTAACAATTTTGAAAACTCTACAGCATTCCTCTTTGTTTAGTTCTAGCCTAATCAAACGTTCCTTTTCTAGAAGTTGTTACGTGTTTATAAGGCATAAAACATCATCATTCATCCTAATAAAACAATACTCATTCTAGTTGTCTGTTTCTGAAATTTTTCCATTACTGAATTACTGCTATTTTTGAAACAAAAGGTCCAGAATAGAACATATTGTTCATGGGTGGACAAACAAAGGCTTTATGTCACATTTTATGTAGGGTTCACAGTACTGATTTGTACACTTTATGTAGCATGCCTTAGTATATTATTCTCACTTACTGAGTTAATTACTTGCATTTTGATTTGCTTTTCTAACAGCTGCCTAGTACTGGAGCTAATGTTTTCATGCAGCTGAAATGATCAGACCAGAGCCTATAATTTTTTGTGAACTGTGTTTCCTATTGCTTATTTCTTACTAGTTTTATTTTTTCACCCTTTTGCTCTATCCTTTAAGGTTTTTCTGCAGCTCCTTGTCTGTTCACATCCTCACTTCAAATAATGTCATATAATTTGCAAGTTTTCTCACCTCACTATACTTTCTCCTGTTCCAGTTTATTTATTAATATTATAGCACACAGATCACAGCAGAAAACCTATGCAGGAGTACACCAGTGACCTTCTCTGTTAGGATGGCTGGCTGTTTGTCTTACGTAATTTCCTATCTTTTCATCACCTACTGACCTTTGCCAAGACATTCCCTCTTTTCTCATATGAATGCTCAGTTTCTTTGAAAGTCTTTCTTGGTGAGGGACTTCTCAAAAAAACTCACAGAGATCCAGCTTGATTTCATCAATGAGCTGGTGTGTATCCTCACTCTAGTTACACCTTCCAAAACCTCCAGCAGATTGGCAACGTAGGAATTTTTTTACAGAAGCCTGACTGACTTTCCCCACACACATTGTATTTGTTCTCTTCTGCTCATTATATAGTCTCTCCTTACTTACCTGCAGCAGGTGATACATTTAGAAGCCAGTAGTTAGACTGATCCCCTGACACTGCTTTTAAAGTCTGGTATAATTTTTGTTGCTCTCTTATCTTCAGGCACTGAGGTAGTTTTAAATGAGAACTTAGACACTGCTTTTAGTGTCTCAGCTATTTCATCCCAAGATTAATTTAAAACTTTTTTTCTGAACACTGTTAGGTCCTGTTAACTTCTTAGCATCCAGCCTCTTAGCATGAAACCTCTTATGCAGAAGGGCTCCCTGGTGGGAATTTTACTGTGTTCTTCTACAATAAATGCTAATGCAATGAATTCATGTAGCTTCTCTGCAATGGCTTTTATACCACGGCTGTGATTGTGGTCCTGTGGACGTCAACAATTTTTGTTCCTGTTGTATAGGAAGAAGGATTTAGCAGAAATTTTGCCTCTTTTGGTTAGTTGCTCCTTAAACATTTTTGGACTATGTCATTATATTTTTACAGATATTGCATTGCTATTGGTTAGTCTTCCAGAGTTGTTGGTCTTTTCTGTATTCTGCTTTTTAATACAACTTCAGCTATTTGAAGAAGACTATTTTATTTTTAATAGTTTTTAACAATGTTCTTTAATGTTCAGTTCTTGAAACAGAAATATTTACTCATAATACAAAAAGGAATGCTTTGGAATGATTACTATTAATTTCACTGTTAAAAATATTATCGCTAATTAGGTCCCGAATTATATAACTAACTGGATGCTTTATCCACTAGGCTGCCAATGTAGATCTGATTAATCAGATTAAATATTGGTTGTAAGTTGTAAACTGTTGGCAATTAGCTTTTGCTGATTTGCTAGAAAATGCTCTTTTTCTGCTGCAAAGTAGATCTACCTCTCAGGTTCTGGTTTCGTGTTTTAGCTGTCTAAAGAATGTCTGTTTCCTTTTGTTTTGTTTCCTTCTTCTGTTTCATTCAGCTCCCTAAGACAGGGCTCAGGAGTGAACAGAAAATACTTTGCAATGTGGTGTTTACTGACTTCTCTTTGTATTGTTGTGAAAAGAGGGATTGTAGATCCTGTAGATCCTTCAACAACAGATCCTAAATTCCACTCTTTTTAGGTCCTGAAATTTGCTGCGATGAACTTCTTAACTTGTCCTTGAAATCAGAACAAATACAGGGCATACAATGAAATGTTTTTGAAGTACTCTAAAAAGAGCTAACACAGTCATTAAAAGTGCTTTAAATCTAGCTACATTTCTAATCTAGATTCAGATTTAAAATATAGCTGTAAATCTGATTTGATTCAGTATGGAAAATCATTAAAACAATTTCATTTTTCTCTTCTTTTTTGAGGTTTTCATTGCTGTATTTAAAGTATGTGTCTTAGAGCATTGTATATGATTATGGCAGAAATGGAAGTTAGAGACCTATTTTAGCACTGCTTTGATCTAGAAGAACTGCATATATATGCTTCTAAAAGCTGTGACAAAAATTTGTTTGGAATAAGAAGAGGATTAATCCTTTCCGCTTGAATCACTGCATCTTGAGGATGCTGAAAAATGAGTTCCAATTTTGTCAAAATTTTACTGTCCTTTGGTTTATCTATGCTTTTCAAAAGCTGTGCTCATGTCACTTAACATTCTGGTCACCTTGGTGGTATTATTTTTATAATGTCTGAAGTTTTCTTGCTCTCTTTTTACTTGTTTCTCCCCCCATGGATAGAGAAATTTGATATTTTTCACCTGAAGTCACATTTGAATTAGTGACTAGTGTTTAGTGGCTTTAGTTGACTGTCTCAAGCTGACTATAAGTATTTCTGATAGCAGCTGACTTTGGACAAGGAAAGAAGTAACTGAAGCAGAGAGAGTATTACTTGCACATTTTCATGGAAAAATTTCTCAAGGAAGGGGAAAAAAAAATAAATAAATATATATGACAGAATTGTTTCCTAGCAGTGTTGTCTAAAAAAAGCTAACCAGGAACACTGGATTTTTTTCTGAGGGAAGACAGAAGAAAATGCATTCTAGTCCATATTTCATCAGTTTGAAAGGGACTGCTGGAGATCATCCTGTCCAACTCCCTGCCCAAGCACAGTCAGGACTTGGCATTTCTGTTTGCAGAACTGCATGAAGTTCCTGTCAGCCTGTTTCTCCAGCTTGTAGAGATCTCTTTGGATGGCAGCACAACCTGCTGGTATATCAGCTGCTCCTCCCAATTTTGTGCCAGCAGGAAACTGAAGGTACATTCTACCCCATCACTCAGATTCTTAATAAAGATGTTGAACTATATTGGAAGTCTGCATTGACCCCTGGACTACATGACTAGTTATTGGCTCAACTAGTTATTGGCTTCCAACTAGCCCTTGTACTGCTGATCACAAGCCTCTGGGCCTTCCTGTTCAGCTAGTTTTCAGTCCACCTCACTGTCTACTCATCAGCTTCTTTATGAGGATCTTATGGCAGACAGTGCTGAAAGCCTTATTGAAGTCCAGGCAGACAATGTCCACTGCTTTCTCTGAATTTACCAAGCCAGTCATTTCATCATGGGAGGTTATCAAGTTGGTCAAGCGTGACTTGATGAATCTGTAACAACCACTTCCTCCATGTATAAGGATATGACTTCAAGGAGGATTTGCTTTGTATCTTTTCCAAGGAATGAGGTGAGGCTAACCTGGATCCTCTTCCTCTTCCTTCTTTCAGCTCTTGCTGAAGGTAAGAGTGACATTTTCTTTCTCTCAGTCTTGAGGAGCTTCTCTTTATTGGCATAACCTTTCAAAGATAATTGAGATTTCAACATGCAGCCTCTATTCTGTACCTTAGACTTGTGCCTATTAAAAAGGTTTTAATCCAAATATTGACTGTTTTTTCTGCAGTGGTAATTGTATAATATGTACAAAGAAGAATTTCCAAAATAGCAAAAAAAAAGATTGTGACAAAGTCATGTTTCCAAAGTGAGGTATATAAAGTAGGAAGCATATTTCAATCTGTGATCTATCATCACAATTAATATACTATCTTTGCATTTTCAATCTATAACGTGAAGCCTGCTGCAAAGTTTAAGGAATAGTGTGATGAATTTAAGCTTATTTTTGTAGTAATTACATAGGTTTACTGATGATCCCTGCTCTGTGGTATGACGTAGGATATATTTTCACTTGGTATAATTTGTTTTCAAAGGGAACTTGATTTGTAGCCTTGTTGCTCTTTGTGCCACTTGGAGGTATCTCCTGTAGTATATTTGTAAATGTTGGTGGATTGTCGTCTAAGGTGGATATCCACCCATTGTGGAGTTGTAAGCCTGATTTATTTATCTATCATCTTTGTAAACTTATCCAATTGTGAAAAATAATAATTTAAATTGTTATCTCTTATCAAGCTGTTGGTGATGCTGGTTAGTGAGAGATACACCTCTATGATCATGTTCCTTGAGTGACTAGAAAGAGGGGGTGTTTTTGAGGTTACCCTTCAACACTTCTTGAGCATTAGTGGTTTTTTACTTTGCAGAATCTGTGTTCAATTAGTCATGGAATTTTAACTGAAAACAGACCTCTGTAAAAACAGGGAATGAATTTAAAACTGTTTAGGATTTGTGAAATTATTACTCCCATAAGCTTAAACTGAGCAAGACATTTCAATTTAGAATGGTTTTGGAAAGGCACTACTAAAATATCTTGGTCCCCTAAATTATTCTTTTTTCTGTGACTGCTCCTAGTTCTAGGCCTTCTGCACTTACTATTTGTCATTATAACTATTTTCCAGAATATTCTTGAGATTTCTGCAGGTTTGAAAAATATGTTCTGCATAGTGGTATTTGAAAGCTTAAATCACCACTGTTTTATTTTTTTTTTTTTCTTTACAGTATAGACTTCCAAAAGAACAATCCAATACACAAATTAACTGAAGAGGAACTTCTGGCTTTTACATCAGTAAGTAATTTATCTGGACTTTTCAGTAAGCATGTTTTCACTTAATATTTAAGTGAAGTATCAAGCAGTAAACTGTCAATCACATTAATCATGAAACTGTTTGTCAACTAAGTTTGTTTTAGTATTCACCTGTTTCATTAAGTTTTTCTTATATCAAGAATTAAAGTAATGCTGAAGTGCTGCCCAGTTTTGAACCATCCTCCTGCAGGATAAGCTTGACATTTCATATATAGTTTTGTCTGAAAACATGCACAAAACATTTTTCATGTGTTTTAGTTTTTATTACTTATAAAGTAAAGTTAAACAATGAATTTTTGCAGCAAACTCTTCCTATGGCACCAGTGTTAAAAGTGTTCTTGTTTGAACACTGGTTTTAGTGGAGTTTGAAAGGATTTTCAGCTTTATTCTGTCAGATGTATTCAATCTATGTATTAGATGTTCTGCTTAGATATGTCTTCCCAGTCAGTGGCTGATTTGCCACAGAACAGTTCTGTAATTTCAAAGAAGCCTAGAAAATGCTGAGTACTTTTTCAGTGTCATTTCTTTTTTACTCAAGACAAAACACAGTTTACTTCTTTCCTTGAGCTCTTCTGCTTTTGTGAGTTTTTCAACAGTAGTTTATATGGGGGTGGAGGAGGAAAGGCTGGTGATTATACTGCCATTTTTGCTTACTTTCCACAATGTTAGTCTTCATCCTTGGTGCTGTAAAGAGGGCTTGCTCTCCTACCCAAGCCTTGTACTTTGAGACCCTTTTGCCATAGTAGTGCCATCTGAAAAAGTTTTTGATAAAAATAAGTAAATTTGTGTTAAGAATTTGCAGATAATATCTCTGCAAAAATGTGTTGAATTTCACTTGAGGTAGAATTGAATTACTGACACTTGTAGTTATGTGAAAGTCCTATGGACAATACTAAGGTTAACTATGGTAATGTTTCTGGGTTTTTTTTTTGACGGAAAAAAGAAGTTCAATCTGTAAAAAAGAAAATATTTTTATTAGACAGATAAAATAGGTTGGTTTTAAAGCAATGTTTATTTAGGTCCTTATGCTAATACAGTACATATAAGATCTGCATGAAGGAGTGGAGTGAATCACTGTAAACCAGTTTAGTTTATGTAGGTTTTCTGTTTGTTGCTATGATTATCATAGTGCCTTCTCGTGATCTGTTCATAGTTTATTAACTGTTTTGTTTGAAACTACAGTTTTGTTTTGGTTATGTTTTTTTAAAAAAATGTTTAAGGGGGAATAGAGAGCAGGAAAAAATTCAAATGTAGACTAAGTGAAAGTGTCCACTCACTTCATATTGTAATAACTGAAGTACCCAGTAATGGTATTAAAGAATTATGACAGATAAAGGAGAGGAAAAAAACTAAGAGAAAGAATAAATATGTACAAAGTAGAATCTTAGAGTTATTCTAGTTGGAAAAGACCTTTAAGATCGTAGTATCCAACCATTAGCCCAACTCTACCGCATCCAGTGCTAAACCATGTCCCTAAGCACCACAGCTACATGTCTTCTGACTTTTTAATATACCTTCTGCTCCTGTCTTTCTACTATTGTTTGCATGATTCTGGGGTGGAAAAGCAGGCATTATATACCTGAATCTCAAAATAACTTCTCTACATACTCTGTCCTTTTAATATTACGTGGAGTGATGTTGTGATAACAGAACATCTTTAACAAGATAGGCCCTACTCCCATAAAGGTGTTCTTTCCAGAATGATGAAGCTGGGAGTGGGGTTTATTTGTTTTAATGCTTGAGTTTTCAAGCATTTAAAAACTCTTCAGGCTTTACAGCAGAGGAAAAGAAGTCAAGGTAGCACATATAATAGGCAAGAAAGATAATCAGCTTTACTGTCAGGTTTTATCTGACATTACTTGAGAGATCATGTTACCTCTTATCTGAGATGTAAGAGATCTTTTGGGTGAATTCTTAATAACGGTGAGAAAATTAAACTGCATTTTTCTGCCATCTAGTGGCTGATTCCTCAAAAATCACAGAAGACCTGATTAACTTGCTCCTTAATTATTTATTGCAGTGACTGTGCAGAGCTTATGTTTTCTTTCATTTATTTATCTTTTTATAGAGCTTCTAAGTCAGCTGCAGCTTGCTTCACACTTCTAAGTTCAGCAACCCTTACCAGGACAGATTTCTAGAGAATCACAGCTGCTAGATATGTGTAGGCTTCCCTATCAGTTTTTGCTCTAAGTAGCAAAGAAGTGGGGTCTGTAGCAATAAATGAACAGGAATTTAGATCTATCTAGTAGTGCAAAATTCAGTGAATGGAAGTGACTAAGAGAAGTAGCTGGTATTCTAAAAATTAAAGGAAACAATTAATTTCAATGTCAGAATAGTATTCTTTTAAACTTTTGCTTAATGCTTCCAAGTTAACTGGATCTAAGGACACAATTCCATCTTATCATTGTTTTCTTTTACGATTATGACCTATGCTCCCGAGACACAAACAGGAATAAGTATTAACTGTCATATTACCATCCCAAATCTTTCCTGGAAACTGAAAACTGGAATCAGTTATTAGCTTATGTAATTTATTTTCAAGAAAAGCATTTTTTGAGAGTTTTCACCTGAGCCTAAAATTTTGGATAGTCACTGCAGAATTTAATTATAAAATCTCTGAGCTCTTCTGCATCTCTAGCTCTGAGTCACCAAGGCAAGCAAATCCATCACTGTGCTCCCTGGCAGCAGGGGTGTTCTGTGTGAATGTTAACACAGTCTTGGATCTTAAGGTGTCTGCTAGCTGAGTGAATAAGTGGCAGTGCAAATGTTAAACTTGTATTTAAGGTATTTACCAAGCTTTGGTACTACCTAATCAAACAGGCAAATGAGCACTATGTCAATGCTGCTCTAGTAATTTCTTTAGCATCATTTAAACTGATATATGTGTGTGTGTGTGTGAGCAGGCATCTTCTCAGCCTACATGTGGATTCCTAAATCTGCAGGCTGGTTAGATGGTTGTCATGCATTCATCTGATATCTGCTGAAATTTGTTTCCTGAAGAAAGGAGGGCATTTCAAGATATCTTAGGAAACTTGAGAAATTGATTTTTAATATATCAATGGATCATCAAAGTGTCATCTTGCTTTTGACATTCCCAAGCAAATGCACGTGACCTGCAGTTTCTCTCTAGCAGTGAGAATTAAAGTCCCAAGTATTATGAGAGTAAAAGGATGATAAAAGTGAACTGAAGTAGATGATGTGGTCCTACTTCATCCTAGATATACTTTGGCAAATAGGCATTCTAAACTCACTTTTATATCTGTAGAAGTTGAAAATTAATATATCTGTAAGATATATATATATGTATTTTATTTGTTTTTAAACAACATATCTTACAGTCTTAAAAGTAACACCATTAAGTCACTGTTAGTCACTGCTTGGTGACTACAGTGAAATACAAAAGGATTGCTGCTTTTCATTTACTGAAATTGTTTGAGAATAGTTGCCATTATACTAAAAGTACTAACTTTTCTAACTAAGAATTACTTTTAGTGTTGTTAAATTTTGAAAAAAGATGTAGGAGTGGATAAAGTCCTTTGTACTTGTTTATGTAGTCTCCTTGGCTAGGAAGGCTCCTTTTACTACAGTAATTTGGACTTCAATGCTTGAGGTGTGAAATACTCTTTTTCTCACATGTAACAGTTTAGGGAAACATGTTTTTACTTAATTCTGTTATGGTAAGCACTTGGACTTCTAAGAAAGCTAAGATCTCATTTAGGAATCAAATATCACATAAGCTGCAGATAAATTGTTGTCACCGTTTGGCTCAGGTTCGACAACAACGCTCTCGATCCCCTCCCCCTCCCACCCAGGTAGTGAAGGAGAGAGAGAATGAACAACACTGTTACATAAATGCATATGATATTTCAGTCTATTTATTTTACATTGTTTTAAAATTACGTTTAAAGCTTTAGAAAAGATGTCTGTCATGTAAACATAAACTTTAGAACAAAAAACTAAAAAATATTTCTGAAATTCAAAATAGTTCCAGGAACATATGAAAGCTGTATGTAAGAACTGCTAAGTCTTCCTTTATGTTTTAATTATAAGAGTATGTGGTTCTTGCAGTCAAATAGGGGAAGGATTAAATACTGAATGGTGTAGCATTTTTCTCTTAGAAAAGAGAAAAATGTTTTTTCTTTTTAAACACCTAAGATTAGACTCTGCAATACAAGTTCATAATGGTTTTATAGAAAGCTTTTATTATAGCTTATAATTTACATGCTGGGGAGGCCATTGGGTGTTTCACAGTCTGACATGACACTTCAACAGAATATCCAGGATTAAGGAACTGCATCTGATGCTTGATATTACTCCTTCCATCTGTCTTATTCCTGACTTTGTTCAGGAGAAATACACTTTTTGGTAAATGAGGTAGGCACTTAGCCTAGTGTAGGAGACTATGAGTGGTAGCAACAGTATTAACTTGTAGGGGACTGAGGAGAAAAAGCAACCAGAGACTGAAGAGAAACCTCTTGCTTTGTGCTTCCCACATCTCAGCCCCATATTTGTATCCTTTGGAATCCATAGACAATGAGAAGTGAAAGAAAAGAGACTGTGGAAAATTAAGTTGCATCAGTTTCTTAATACTTCTGAGACTTGTCATTTATGGAGAGTAGAGCAGTTGATTTTGTTATTAAGTGGTAAAAACCAGGAATAGGAAACTCTGACAGCTTTTCTGTCTATTGACACTTTGAATGGGTGAGGATATATTTCTTAAAGAGGAAAAAATAGTCTAATAGCTTTTGTATTGCTTAGGTTGACAGTTGTTCACCATCTTGTAACAAATTATCTGATAATTTTGAAATTGTTCCAATAATGCCACGAAGGATAACAAAGTCTGATCAAAGAACTAGAGAATGTGAAAGTCTGTCAAAATCCAAAGAATACTGTTCATTGGAAAGATGGACCATATGGGAATGCTTTGTGTCTCTTTTTTCTGTCCACTATGTTGAGATACTGATGCCATAAGAGACTGTTTT